AATTAGTATATTCAATGTTATACAATGTAATCAATTTTCATGGCCCTTTACCAATTCCTCCCTTACCCCCCTGCCCCTCCTCCTTTCCCACCTCTGGTAATCTCAGTTCTGTTCTCTTCTTTTGAAAATTCAATATATTATTATTATTATTATTATTATTATTTAGATGTAAGAGTGTGTATTTACAAGTGTAAACACATAAAACTGCATTCATTTATACAGTGAAGACTTGTTCACATGGCAACATTATAATGCAATTTTTGTACTTGTCAATTTAATATTTTGCCAGGTATATGGAATTAACAACACATTTTAGCACTCAATTTGGAACATTTTCTTTTTTCTTTTTTTCTTGGAATATAGTTGATTTTACATACCTGTGGGCTACAGCATTGAATATCAAGACCATACTGATTGCAGATGTGGGCATCCTGCGAACAAAGGATTCAGATCTCCCCTGGCTGAGGGAAGGAGAGGTCTCATTCATGTTCCAAAGTCAGAGCTATGAGGTTCCAAGTGGGAACAGGAACAAGTGGCAGCCAAGCTATTTCAACACCTTCTAAGTATACATCTAGATGATTATAGTCTCTCTTTGCCTAGATAGTGTCTGGGCTGGATGGAGATAGAGAATGGTTGGTCACTATGCTTCCTACTTTGAGGTTTAGCTATCTTCTGAGTCAGATAGGAATTATGCAATTTATACAAAAAGAAAAAAATCCCAAAACAGTAGGAAACCCAAAATTGTTTTTCCCTGCCCACAATGTTTATTGCTACACCTCAGAAAAGACCTGTTCTAATGGATGTGGGACATGAAGAGTTAAATAAATTTAACTTTTCTTCCCTGACCACCGCCCTCCTCCAGACTAAGAGAAGAGCAGCACTATTTTTTTAAGTTCCCCCTAGGAATAACTGAGCATATTGCATCTGCCCAGGAAAGTCAAGACCAAGGAGAGGACCTGGGTTGGGAAGTGTTCATGACCCCAGCTCACATAGGTGTATGGGAGTTTGCCTGTAGGAATATTGGCTCTTTTGCCCCACACCCCATTGGACATACTCCTAAGACCCTGGATGTTATGTGCCTGTATTGTGTGCTGTCTGCCTTTGCCTGTCCCTACTTTTCTTTNCCCTGGATGTTATGTGCCTGTATTGTGTGCTGTCTGCCTTTGCCTGTCCCTACTTTTCTTTCTTCTTCCTCCTTTTCTCTCATACCTTGCCTCATCTGACCCCAAACTGTGCATCTGAGTTATTTGAGGAGCAAGGTCAAAAGCCTCCATGAGTTACTTCCTTTCTCCTTGCCCATTCCTCATGTAGAAAGACTGGTTTAACCTCTCTCCATCCAAACCCTGTGTTTTCTGTCTTTTAGTGATATCTGTCATGAGCTGTTGGGACACGTCCCCTTGTTTTCAGATCGCAGCTTTGCCCAGTTTTCCCAGGTAAGGAACAGACCTCTTTAGCCTTCTAGTTATGGGGCTGAGACCTGGATTGCTCAAGTGAGTTGAGCCCATGGAGGACAATCACACCCTCTACAAGAGTGAGAACCGGGTATAGTACTATGATCCCATATGAGGCAGGTGTGTGGTTCTGTGGCGCTAGCTAAATACCCATTCCAGGGACCACAGCATGGGGTGGTGAATTGCTCATCCTCTGAATCCCGTGTGTTGTTGAATTTTGCCAATCACACTTGTCCTACCAGGTGTAGTTAAAGAGCCTTTTTAATCCATGAAAGTCTCCCCGATTCCCATGCAGAAGTCACCTCATCATCTTTCAAGTTCTCCAACTACTTTCCCCCACTCCCTCTAGGACCTTTGCCACTTTCTAGTGGGCAAAGTCATTTGCA